TTTATATATTCCAATGGTTAGTAAAGATATACATTACCAGTCAAATATTTAGACTCTCATTTCTTTTTTTTTCCTTTCTTTTTTTTTTCCTGTATGGTTACTATTTTCTACATTTGATTTACATACAGAAGACATCAAATACATCTGAATAATTCCATATATATCATGTTTCATATATTTGATGAAAGTAGCAAACATATAGAACAAAACATTGGACAAAGTGTGTCCAAACAATAATTTAAAAGGTTTAAAGTAAGAAACACCAAGCAATACCAGTGTGGCAGTGTGGAGTAGTCAAAGTATTCTGTTTAATGAGTAAATTCTTCTATATAATCACAAATGTGTTTTAAAGGTTTTGCAGTTGCTACTCGCAAACCCACGAATAATAAACTACCAATATAAAAATACTATACCACCAAAGTCCTTCTAGATAAGTCCCGGCGATTATGTTTTTGGGGCTGGGGTGGCAGTAGCTCAGTTGGTAAGAGCATTTATCCACTGATCCAAAGGTTGACGGGTTCATAAAAAATAAAAAAAAAAAAAAACATCATTGGGGGAGCGATCAAATCCACTGACCCGATTCTAGCTCCCACAGATGAATTCTGTCGTTGTGTCCTTGGGCAAGACACTTAACCCACCTCTCCCCCAGTCTCTGTGTGCACTGGTGTATGAATGAGTGAGTGGTTCCTTGTTACAAAGCACGTTGAGTTTGAAGGTGGAAAAGTGCTGTGTAAAAATGCACCATTTATTAAACATCAGTAAATACTAGACACATAATATTTACTTAATTATTTCATCACAGCAATGCAATTAATTATGACAATATTTTATATATATATGACTTAATTTATTTACATAAATATAATTTCTAACTTTAAAAACATTAGTAATAATTGCTCAGTAAATTCATGACTGTTAATCGTGGTGGTAAATACATTTAATTAATACTGACAAGTAAATTATCCTCGATATTACAGCAGTAAGATTTACTGAAAAAGTGCTAGTGCAAATAGTTACGATGATTTTTTTCAGTGTTTCCTCAGTGATTCAAATAATACACATATTTATACTTTTGTATCTATAACTGCAATACCATTATATAATAAGAAGTAAGGTCCAATCAGATAATTAATCAGATAATCCAATAATTAGATCTGATTTGTGCTATGTGTTTACATGCCCAAGAGAAATTTGATCAACAAAAACATCTGTCGGTTAATCAGTATTTTTGAAATTATTGTTATATTTGGAAGATAAACACCTAAATAACTCTTACTTTTGTATTTGCCACAGTAGTTTGCCCTTTTTTGCATGTTTTCTTTATCAAAACCTGCACAAAATCAGAAAGAAATCAGCTTACTCACATCAGATGTAACTGTTCACATGACATTTCAATAGGCTGATAACTCCAGAAATCAGTTTATTGTCAGATTTTTGGTGCACACAAAGCCAGTGGTTCTAATATTCTGAAAACCCACACCAGTATCGCCAGTATCTAAAGAAAAAACTTATGTTAATAGTTTGTATACTTTAATAATTTATCATATAATTTAAAAGACTTTGTGTATTTAGTACCGTAATCTGTTTAACCATCGGTACTTCCATCCACCTTGTTTGTTGTGGGCCTTCACAGTGGTGGATTGTGGGTACTCCTACGCTCTGTTCTTTTGTGCTCTCCTCCCGAAGCCCACTCTTCACTCTTCACATGACACTGAACACAAGAGCTGCAGCCAGGAGAGAGATTTAAGAGCTTTTACTATCTGACCATGAACTGCTAGTGTGACAAATTCAGCACACAGACAGAGAATAAAATGGGAATGTTGGAGACGCAATAATCTGAAAACAGAAAATACCATTTGCATACATTTGCAGTTTTTTCATCCTATGTTGCAATAAACATTTTGTTCACATACCAGTTTTATTGTGCAAAATAAATTGAAATGAAACAATATCCACAAAGCTATACAGGAAGTTTCCGTTTATTATGCTCTCTGGTAGAAGGACCAATGCGTCATCAGTTTTACAAAAGAAATGGATTTACTCATTGAAAGTCATGTATTTGGCCTTTTATATTCCTGTGTCCAGCATACATTGACTTCTGGACTGGACTTCTGTGATTTGCATTTAGATTTGACACAACGCCACCCCAACCATCTCCTGCATCTGAGTGAAAAATTTTACAAAATCAGAAAGTTGAAAACAGAAGTTTTTAAAAACATGTTTCGTCTGCATTTTAATAAGGGGCATTTCTGTACATTTGTCTGGAACTTTCCACAGATTGGCATATTGCGCTTTTGTATTAATGTTGTTTCCTCATCACAAACAGACCTGGAGTTGTGGTTTGCTTCATTCACACGTTTAACACACAAACCCTGCAGATTTAGGCTCTGGCTTCACTGCATGTGTCAGCATTTATGCAGGTAAAAAACTGCGAAACCACAGCCGAGCATCAACGCAAGGGCAGCTCCACCAAGCAGCTCCAGAAGGATGTACACGCGCAACACTGTCTCTGTGTTTATCAATGGGAAATCTGATCAAATTTGTCTGGGCGCGTTTAGCCGCTTGTAACAGGTCCACAGTGAAACTAACAGCTGAACAGACTGATGTTTACCTTCTGTGCAGGCTGACCACTGCAAACGCGAGGATTTCAAAAGTAAATTTCAGAGCACTAATTAACTGTCTTTCTAGACCTCGGCTCTTTCAGACGACACAGAACAGCCCCAGGAGCTCCTTGTGCTGATGGTAAACGCACAAATACAACAATAAATGCTCGCTGAGTATTTTGACGGGGATGCGCCTCTGCCCTCGCACAAAGCGTCAGAAAATTGGATGGATCCTATTTTTATCTCTACACTAGGGCTCGGTATCATTAAGAAATTGCTGATACAATCCATACCTCAATACATAGGCCACGATACGATACATATCTCGATACTGTGTGCTTTCGGTTCAATACGATATTTGATACGGTTCAATAAAAATAATCGCTAAATCATGGCTGTGATACTAAAAGTCATTGTTAAACCAATTCTTGTGCAAAATTCATATGAAACACAAATATTTTAATCATCAAAACAGTGAAAATGTCAAATGTGTCGCAATAACAAGCTTCCTTCCTCTAAACAAGCAACAAAGCTGTAGATCTGTAACAAAATAATTTAGTAAAATATACCAGAAAATACTCTTGACGAAATATCCGTACAGCAGCCCACGATACCGATACTGTATCATCACATTAAACTATACAATTTATCAGTATTTCAATATTTTTGCGCACCCTACTCTACACAAGCATGACGTGCCGCTCGGTACGTACTTCTAGCGCAGGCAGTGGAGTCGCCCTCATTCACTTTTAATGCATCCTAAAAATGATGTGTCCAAAAGTTGCAGTTTTGATGCGTGCGTAAGGTGAAATACGCGTGCAGTGGAGCCTGGGTCTTAGGGTGAGTTGTTGTCTTAAACAGAAAACACTCTGCTCCACCTTGTGATGTCATATGGTAATACAGGAAGTGCTCCACTGTGTTTTTAAACTCCATGCACCTTCACTAGAATCATTTGGATAATTTCAGCCCTAGAGTTGAGTATATCTACTGAACAAAAGGTAAAAAATTGCTGTAAACTTGAAAGATATCACAGTGGAATAGATCATTTTGTGCTTTAGAGATGTAGACCTACTAATAATAAAGTTACTCAAACATGTGTGAATGAAACAAAACACAACTCCAGGTGTGTTTTGAGGAGCTAACAGTGTTCTAACATGACTTAAAGCTATCTGTGTAATCCCTCAATCATCCAGGTAGGATCCATAGCAAAAGAAAAAATCAATTCTCTCAACTGGAGAAACTGCTGGGCAAACTCAACTGGACGCCTGGATGAGCTGCAAAACGTCTTCATTCAAATAAAAACTTTTGTCCTGTTTTGTTCACAGAATTGAATTTTTAAAGCTCACAAGAGTCAGTTTTTGTGAAATGGGAGTGATTGTAGAGACACATTCAGCAACATCTAACATCTAATCCACTACACTATAATTTAGGCAGCACTCAAGTACCCTATTTTCTGGACTGTAAGTTGCTCAGGAGTATAAGTCGCACCAGCCAAAAAATGCGCAATGAAGAAGAAAAAAACATATTTAAGTCGCACCGGACTATAAGTCACACTTTTTGTTTAAATGTATTTTATAAAATCAGAAACCAGGAACTGACATCTCATCTTGAAAGGCAAGTTATAGTGATAACAGAGAACAACAGGCTGAATAGGTGTTAATATGTTAACGTAACATATGAACAGTTATTCAAATAATTATAACATAAACAACATAAGATAAGTTTACCAAACTCACGATCTCACTCCAAATCAATAAATCCATTGAATTCTTTATCCTTGGTGTCACTTCTGCACGACCTCCAGAGATAAACCGTTGATCCATGATGTAAACAGAGCGCCGCTTCCTCTTCTGCATAGCTGTCGTCAGACTCAGCATCAGTTCCAGTTAGAAATATTCCGGCATTTCTGAATCCCGACAGGATGGTTTCGATTGTCATTGAAGTTCAGGCTTTGTCCATCCAATGGCTTCCAGGAAAGTTACATGGCGCACCCGCCCGCTTTCCGGAAGTCCCTCACAAGTTTCTTGCTCACTTTCTTCTTGCTCCTCGATTACCATTTTCGGCTGCATATTTCACTATTTGCAGCGAGACAGCAGCTTTTTATACAGGAGGCATGCGCAGTAGAGTGCAAAGTGACAGTGGTACAGGAGTAAAAGTAGCAGCAGATACTGACACACAAGCCTAGAGTGCCCTCTCGCGGCTGTCACTCTGAAAATGTTAATATATAAGTCGCACCGGAGTATAAGAACGCCCAAACCATGGATAAAAGTGCGGTATATATTTTTAATCTGTGTGTCCTTCATGTGTTACTTCAGATTTATCCTAGTAGCTAAGGTAAATAAAGACATCTCTAATATAACTTGCTCTTCTTTTTCTTCTTCTGTGTTTTTGTTCTAGCTGACGTACCTCCCTCCTCCCTGGGGCGACTGTAAAGCTTCTGCCATGGACTCAGACTTCTTCAGCACCTACAGTATCACAGCCTGTCGTATCGACTGTGAGACGCGCTACCTGGTGGAGAACTGCAACTGCCGAATGGTCCATATGCCAGGTACAACATCTGCTAGAGTAAAGTCTGTGTGATCTGTGTGTGTCAGTCATGCAGGTGTGAGTGTAGAAGTTTAAAGGTGCAATGTGTAACTTTCCTGGTGGAGTCAAATGCTTTTCTTCATGGAGATGTTATTGCTTTGCCTGAAATGTTTCCCAGTATGGTTAAACCTTTCTAAAACCAGATCAAGTAAAACAAGACTTAAAACCAGGGGGGACAGGGCCTTCTCTGTGGCCGGCCCAAGCATGAGTTGTGCGGTCCTCTGTGTCTTTTATTTATTTTATTTATTTATTGTTTTTACCTATATTTTTTTTAGTACTGCTTATGTATTGATTTTATTAGTTTTGTTCATTGATTTTATTATTATTTTATTTTATGATTCTAGACACATAATTCTGCTCATTTATTTTATTTTATTTTATTTGTGTTTTACATTGCTATGTGAAGCACTTTGGAAACTATTTTGTTTATAAAATGTGCTATTCAAATAAAGTTGGATTGGACTGGAAGTTACACACAAGTCAGATCTGTGGAGAGGCGTTTTTCTAGGTATTTTTGAGCTATAAATTGTAATTGTAATTGACTAAATGCAGGTTACAGCTGTTTAATGTCACACTGTGGAACATTTGAGGCAGAGCAATGACATGTCCATAGAAACAAGCAGGTGAAAGATGCAGAACCAAAAAGTTGTAAGCAAAGTTCCACTCCAGCAGCACCATTTTATATTATACAAAATATAAAGTTAAAACCATACTTTGGAACATGACTATATCACCATGGAGATAGAGTTTTGTGCCATACTGTGGAATATCATAGCCATATTTCCATGGAAAGACACAGGAGGAGAGGAAGTGGTCCGTCGCCAGGTCAGGTTTGTGAAGATGCAAGTCCGCGAGTAATGACACATGCTTTTTTTTTTGTTGTTGTCTTAAAGTTATTTGGGGCTTTAAAGGTGTACTGTGGTACTTTGCTGCTGCAGGGTTCATCACCTGCTTGTTTCCATGGAGATATCACTGCTTTTACCTTCATTATTCCACAGTATGCAAATAAACTTGGATTAATGGTCAGATCTATGGAGAACCGAGCCTGCACATAATAAGAATTTATATTTTTAAGGTATTTTTGAGCTATAAAACACCTGTAATTGAACAACTACAAGGAAGATTTATTTAATGCCCAACAGTGGAACATTTCAGGTAAAGAAATAACATCACCATGGACACAAGCAGATTGCAGACCCTCCACCAGAAAACGTACACAGTGCACTTTTAAGTAACAGATACTACTCCCTTCAGACATATAGTAGTATTTACTAAGCTGGTCCCAGAGCTGAGTCAGAACTGAAGGAGCTTTGGATGAGCGCCAAAACATATTTACTTTTTAAAACTTTTGTTCAGTTGACAGGATTCAATTTTCTTTTGCTTGTGTTAAAAAGTTTCAAAATTTCATTGAGTTGGATATTTCTCCAGAGAAGTGTTTACAAAAGTCTTCAGTGACGCTGCAGTCACACTTTTGGTCTTGGCATCGGTAGAAAATGAAGTGAAAGTGCTGGACTTAAGTTTTTTACTTTTAAAGATGTAACTTTTTGGTAATGTAATTGCTCTGCCTGGAATGTTCCGCAGTGGCTACGTTTATATGATGTTTTTTTTATTCTGAATGAATTTTTCTGAATTAAATAGCTCGGAATTAAAATATTCCTCTTCGAGTTTACATGGAAATTCCTCAATCATTCGGAAATCATTACGAATTGAGGTTTACATGGAAAACCTGTTAAATCGCCTTTATTTAATTCCGCTCAATGTCTGGGAGTCGGGAAGGGTTCTAATTGGACAGGGACACAAACGTATTTACGTGTACAGGAAGAAAACACACTTCAGCTGCTACCGGCTTTTTTGTCATCTCGGTTTGTCGTTACGCCACGGACACAAACATGATTCAAACTATTTTCATTCTGATGATCTGATGAGAATTATATCATCACACGCTTTATGTCTGTCAGCTGAGGAGGAGAAGGGAAGAGTGTCGGAGAAGGGAGGACAAAGACGAACTGAGTCAAAGGCTGCTCTGCCTCAGTCCACTCCCGCATATCGCTCACAAAGCCAGGACTGGTGGAGCCCAATCGTCTGGATCACATCAGAAGGGCGACCCAACAAGCATTCACTGAACGACCGGAATTATTTTTTAAGAAGAATAAACGTTTACATGATCGAGGAATAAATTAATTTGGCTTTAAAATCGGAATAAACCACCCACTTACTAATCATTTTCATTAGGAATTAAGTGTTTACATGGAGTTTTGAAAGTGGAATGAACTTTTATTCAGAATTAAATTGTTTTTATTCAGAATTAAAGCTCTCTTACAGCTCTACGTTACTTTTATTCAAATACAGGTGGTTTTATTGCTCAAAATTACCTTGAAAAACATGCATTCTGACTGTGAGCAGCGTCGCCTCTCCACAGATCTGACCTGTAACTTGGTCATTTACAGCCATACAAAATTCCATAAAACAGGCCAGTCCAAGAAACATAAAATAGCACCCATTCTTAACCCAAGAAACAAGATACTGTATACTAAAATATTTGTTGTTTTGTGAGGTAATTACCATGCTGTAATCTCACACAAACACAAATTCAAAAAAACATTTCACCCCTGAAAACCTCGACCTTTGTAAACTCATCCTTGCATCCTCGCACAAAGCAAAACGCGATTATCCTCAAAGAAACTCAGGTCAAACTGTTTTTCTCTCATTCTTTCTGAAATCACATCCCTCCACACTTCACTGAGTCGGAAAACTGGCCCCCTCTTAATGTTTGTGCAGTGATTACAGCTGGCATTTGCTCTCTGCTCCCCGCATTCAATCAGGAGGGCATCTCAAACAGTAAATGGGACGCTCGGAGGAGGAACATCTGGGTTTGGTTAGCCTGCAGCACACAACCTGTCTCGGCTAACTCGTACTTAGAGTCAGTATATGAGGATGGATGAAGCTACGTGTGCGGCACTCTACCTCATTTTTACTGTTTTAAAGTTCCTGTAGTATGTTGTTTTGAGTCTTGTGAGGTTTAAGCCAGAATGTTATAATGTTGTTACCTCCTCAAAAACATACCTGGAGTTAAGGCTGTGCAATTAATCAAATTTTTATTGCTATGTCGATCTCCAAACTCATATAATCTAGTTTATTTTGGGATATTTTTTGTATAAATAAGTATATTTATTAAATTGTTTAAATATAGAGATTGTAGAACAGCTGGATACATAGTTATAGTTACGTATTTTGGATACGTTTATGTTTTCTATGCCTTATTTCATGTTCAAATTTTATGTTTTATACATACAAAACTGCTCTAAGGAACAGATTTGTAGCCTATATTTATTTTCAATTTTAAAGTGTTGCATAAATTATCAGTAACAAAGTGTAAATGCATTGTGTTATAAAAAAATATTAGTTTGAATAATTGTGATTTCAATATTGACCAAAATATAATTGTGATAATAATTTTTTTCTTTTATTGAGAAGCCCAAGTTGTGTTTTGTTTCATTCACACGTGTTTGAGTAACCCGTTATTTATTCGTCTGTCTACACCTCCAAAGCTCAAAATGCCCTCTTCCACCTTGTGATGTCATGTATTGGTAGTTTTCAAGTTAACAGCTACCTTTTACTTTTAGTTCAGTAGAGACTGGCAGTTCCAGGGCTGAAATCAACCAAATGATTGTAGTAAAGGTGTATGGAGTTTAAAAACACAGTGGAGCACTTCCTGTATTACTGAATGACATCACAAAGTGGAACAGAGTGTTTTCAGTTTGAGAAAAGAACTCGGCCTTAATATGCAGGATTTTTGTGTGAAACATGTCTGAAACAAAACACAACTCTAGGTATGTTTTTGATAGCTTGTTCATTTTAAAGGTGCACTGTGTAACTTTTCTGAAGGAGTATCTGCCACAGTGCAAAAAACAAAATCTAGTCAAGTTAAGATGACTTGATTTACGAACGTTTTATCATGATTTGAGTAAATTTCACTTGACAAGTAAAATGATCTGCCAGTGGAACAAGACTTTTTGTGCTTAAAATATGAAAATACATCTTGCCACATTTAAAATAAGAAAAACAACAACTTTTTGCACTTAAAATAAGAAACAAAACTGAATATTGCTTGAATTAAGAAAAACAAACTTATTCCATTGGTAGATCATTTTACTTGTCAAGTTGAATCTACTCAAATAAAGTAAAACGTTCTTAATTTAAGTCATTTTAACTGACCTAGATATTGTTTTGTTTTTTGCCCGTGCACCCACTTGTTACCAGGGAGATGTTACTGTTTTATCTGAAATGTTCCGCAGTATGACACTTCTCTGCATTTCTTCTCCAATTCCTTTCTAATTTGAAGAATTTTGTGAGGACCCATAAAGAACCGTTCCCTATTTAAAAGATAAAATATTTTGATTTACTTAATTGCTATGACAACAGAGAGAGTGCCATAGTGAAACCCATGAGCAGGTGATTTAATTACAACAACAACAACAACAAAAATCGCCTCTCCACAGATCTAAACTGTAACTTTCCCCAATAGAAGCCTCTGTGTTTATCCATGGACATACAGTAGATACGTTTAATGCCATAATGTAGATGTTCTAAGCAAAGCATCTGTAAAGAAGTGGCAGACAGTGTACAGTGCATCAGAAAAGTTACACAGTGTATCTTTAAATTCTTGGCAATGGTCTAAATTTATTCCTCACTTACCTAATGCATTCTGAGTATTCCAGTTATTCACAGTAATGAGTTTATAAGCTCATTTCACAACTTTTAGAGGCCATAGCAGAGTTTTGCCATTGCGGTAATACTAATAATTAGCATGCTAACAGTGTACTTCCTGGTTCTTGGATGATAAAAATGCTTTATATTTAAATACAGATAATACGCAGTTGACCCCTAAGAGCTGCTTTTACAATATTTCTGTACTGGAGGGAAGAATAATTGTGCTCAGATACAGAAGTAGAATGCCAGAAATAGAACACAGACTCGTACGTTTTCTCAAAGTGATAATTAATAGTAGCAGATTAAAGCTGCAGGCGTAGAAGTTATTTGAAGTTGGGGAAAAAATCCTTGAAAGTTGGAATTTAATTAATTACTTGTTGCTTTTTCATCACAAGCAGTATGAAAAGGACAAAAAGGATCTCTCGAATGTCATTTCATTTTTAGTAAAAGATTTAACCAGAAATCTGCTTCTCAGTTTAACAGCGTTTTTTTACTCTGCCAACTTTTGTCTCTTATAACAGAAACTATTTCAAATCAGTTGCGCCCTGGTCTTAAGTGGGTAATTTAAAGACGCACTATGAAACATTTCTGGTTAGAGAGTCTACCAACTGCTGGACTACTTGGGTTGGTTGTTATTTTGCCTGGAATGTTCCTCAGTATGGCATTAAACATATCAACCTCTGCAAGCAATTGGCACCACCATGTCAAGTTACAAATCAGATCTGTGGAGAGCCAAGCGCAGTAAGCACACGTTTTCCAAGCTATTTATAGAAATACAACATCTGTATAAATCCAAATAAATGCAAGATGGATACATTACAGGCAAAGCAACATTTCCATGGGAACAGAAAAGTTACATAGTGCATCTTTAAGTACATTCAAACCAAGACTAAACAATTACTGAATGTAACGCTAATGTAACTTTTAAAACAACATCCATACTAAACTTGTTTCTCAACCAGGATTGAGTAATAAAATTAACTGTAAGTCTGGATCAATGCCGATGGTTTCCGAATGATGAAAAATTAGCACTGTTACCATAGCGATTAACAATTTCAAAGTCAAAAATGACCATTAACATAATCACCTAAACTAAATCTGTGCCTGTATTTTCAGTGTATTTGAGCAAAGTCCCAGTACAGATATATTGAGGTCTAAATATGTCACCTGTGTGCTTTCAGAATCTAATTAGTAAGCATTTTATTGTATGATAATCAGGAAGTGTGTGTTATCATGCTAGTTGTTAGCTTTACCATCACAGCAACTTTGGACTGGTTTGTGAGACATTATGAAAAGTGCTTAAGAACTCATCACAGTGAATAATTAGAATGCTTAGGATGCATAAGGTATCTGAGGAATAATGTTGGACAACTATAAGGGTGTTTTCACGACTACAGACTACAGGTTGGTGCACACCAAACGTTTCATTCGAATCAGAAGCTCTTAGTTCGGTTTGTTTTCGTTGGTGTGAAAGCCTCAGTCACACTCAGATCCGCATTAAATGAAGTGAACCGAGACCTAATAAAGAGGTGGTCTCGGTCTGCTTGACTCTAGCCTGATTCATCAGCCGGGTTCACTTCGTGGAAACCGTCTGACCTCCCAGCATTAAGATTCGTTCACTCGATTGTAGGTACTTTTTTTATTTAACCAATCGCTGCTATTTGGTTGTGACGTATGCTATGGTATATTAAGCTTTTCCCAAATCCCGTAGGAAGAAGGGCAATAACGTCTTTCTCCTTGATAAAATTCACCAAACATTCTCTTTGTTTAAATCCTTTAAATCCTCGATCTTAGGAATCGTTGTCATCACAGAATGTATGGCTCTTCGCTGATTGGCCGGTGCCTGACCTTGCACTTCCGGGGCTCTTGCAAACCGTCAAACTGATTCCTGACCTAGTCGCTGGAGAGAAATGAAATTGAGAAGGGTCCAAACCTTAGACAGTAGGTCCAAAAGAACTATTCGAAATGCATCATGGGACGGCAGGCTTGGACTCCCGAACTCAGCGCTTCCGAGAGGTCTGGCGTACCGGAGAGCCTCAACATCACCGAGCCAGGTGCAGTCAAACCAGCTGTGTGCAGGAGCCTTCGATATACGTCAATCGGACCAATTTTGGTTTGTTTGCCGGTGTGAAAGCGAACCACACTGGAGTCTATATGCTACATAATAACAATTTTATTATCTGGCGCAGACCAAATAATCAAACTAGCAGTGTGAAAGTGCCGTAAAACGTTTAAAATGATCTACGTAGTTCTGTTTTCACATTTTTCAGACAGTGCAAATCAGATGCAGCGCCTTTAACTAGGCCTACACCACCATGACAGAAAAGCAAGAGGAGGAAACATAACAAAATCAATTATAAAGATTAGATCAAATGTAATGAACGCCCAAACCCTGATAACAGCCCCGAACAACAGACTGCATTCATTAAACACAGAGATCTTGTTTAGATATGTTTATAAAGGATGACCCACCGCTAATTGTTTTCTTTCCTCTTTTTTTATTTTTTTTTATTGTTCACAGGAGACGCTCCATACTGTACCCCTGAGCAGTACAAGGAATGTGCAGATCCGGCCCTGGGTAAGGATGTATCCCAGCATGCAACTCTTATGTCTGTATGTGTGTGTGTGACGTAATCGTAGGAGTAGGAGTAAGAGTAAAAGCAGTAGAAGTAGTAGCAGTAGCAGTAGTAGTAGTTGTAGTAGTTGTAGTAGTCGTAGTAGTAGTAGTAAAAGGCATAGTAGTAGGAGGACTAGTAGGCTTAGTAGTAAAAGTGGGAGTAGTAGGAGTAGTAGTAAAAGTAGTAGTAGGAGGAGGAGGAGGAGTAAAAGTTGTAGTAGTAGTGGTAGGAGGAGGAGTAGTAGCAGTAGTAGGAGAAGGAGGAAAGGAGTAGAAGTAGTAAAAAAAATAGTAGTAATAGTAGTAGTAGTAGCAGGAGTAGTAGTAGTAGCAGTAGTAGGAGAAGGAGGAGAGGAGTAGTAGGAGTGGTAGTAGAGGAGGAGTAGTAGGAGTAGTAGTAGTTGTAGCAGTAGTAGGAGAAAGAGGAGAGGAGTAAAAGTAGTAGGAGTAGGAGTAGTGGTAGTAAAAGGAGTAGTTGTAGGAGGAGTAGGCGTAGTAGTAAAAGGAGGAGGGAGGAGTAGTAAAAGTAGTAAGAGTAGTAGTAATAGTAGTAGTAGTAGTAGCAGTAGTAGGAGAAAGAGGAGAGGAGTAGTAGTAGTGGTAATAAAAGTAGGAGTAGTTGTAGGAGTAGTAGGCATAGTAGTAAAAGGAGTAGTAGGAGTAGTAGTAGTAGTAGTAGTTAGTTGTTGTTGTAGTTGTAGTAGTAGTAGAAGTAGTAGTAGTAGTAGGAGGAGGAAGAGAAGAAGGAGAGGAGTAGTAGTCGTAGTAGTACTTGTTGTGTGTGTGTTGCTATTAGATAATAAAAAGCTGATAAAAAGAACAGCATGGGGTTGAGACTTTCTTTGGTCCAGGCGCTGATGAAGATTTGATACGGGATTCAATTTCCTGTAGTTAAGTGAAAACTGTCCCAAAATGTTTAAAGATGAATAAGACATAATGAACTTTATTTCAAAGCAAAACAGTAATTTCTTATTAGAGCAAAACCATAATTCAAAAGGGGCAAAGACATAAAATCAAGCTTTCATTATAATAATAATAGAGCAATAAATAGTCTTATATAGAGCTTTTCCAGACACTCAAAATTGCTTTACAAGTGTGGTGCATTATTTATTCATTCATTCTATACCTGGTGGTGGTAAGCTATTCTAGCCACAGCTGCCCTGGGCCACTCTGCACCATCAGCTCCTCTGACCACCAGCAACGCTCACGCACACACCACATTTATGCTACGCAATATGGGTGAAGTGTCCTGCCTAAGAACACAATGACAGTTTTTGCCACTGATGTCCCACTGTGGCACCTTGAATTCCCAGCGTTCTTAGCTCAGACTCTGACACAAAGGTCTACAGGAGATGCACAGTATTTTGAAGATTTAAAAAAAGTTTTAACATTTGTCTGTTTGTGAATTTATTTGTTATTGTTGCTTTGTTACTAAATTAAACATATCTTTATATATACCTCATTTCGTTCCTAATAGGGATGTAACAATAACCAAAATATCGTGATACCGTATCGCCAAAAGTCTCACAATAATACCGTGGACTGTCACTATATATCGAATTACAAGTTCCTTTGCTTAAATGCATTGTTTTATAGTAGTAACAGCTTATAAACATAAGGAACTACATATCCCATGATTCATTTCAGTGCAAACAGGAAGAAATATGTTTTTACTTGAATTCTTGGGATTATGACAAAAACAACTCACACCAAAATCTTGTCAAGGTATTTTAAAAACTAAAAAGTGTCCTATCTACAATTGTATCAGCATCTCCAAAATATTGCAATAAATATCATACCGTAAGATGCATATCATGATAATATCGTACCGAGAGATTTGGATATTGTTACATCCCTAGTACATAAACACATCCATGCTTTCCGTTATGCTTTCAAACGTTTCTAATGTCAAGGCTGTGTTCTGTTAAATAACCACCAAGGGGCACTAAAAGTCAGTTTGACAAATAGAGCAACAAATAAACAAACATGGAGGCGCCCACAGCAGTTTTTAGATCACATCTGTTGGAAAAGAGTTGAGAAAAAAGATGTGAAAGAAGCATTTATTTTTATTTTCTTAGCTGGTTCTAGTCACTTGTTAAAAAGTCTGTTGTGCTGCCCCTAGTGGTCAGCTCAGGTACAGCTCCGCTTCTAAGATTCCACCTGTTCTGAGGAGAAAGACAAAACACCGCAGAGGATGGACAGAATTTTCTATGTGTATCTAACGTCGAGCATAAATGAGCCTTTAGCGCCATGAGTAACAGCAACAAAACTGAAAAAATCTCTGACCTATATAAAATCTTTTAGCACCACCGTTGTTTCAAAAATCACATTACGACAGTAGTTTCTCTCTGTCTAACTCCGAATCCCACAGGACGTGTCTGAAAGCACTTTGTGAACTCCGTGTCCTCCCTCTGTGCAGATAACACATAATAGTATTCGTCTGTTTGAAGTCTGTCATCTCAACAGTGCGTCCCTGGCCTCCTCTCCGCTCATCGCCTCATGTCTTCGATGCTTTTATCTGACTCATTCTAAGTGACAGCCAATCTCCCTCACACAATATCACACAATATCACACAGGCCCCCCTGACCACACCCCTCCCCCGTCCTGTCTCTCTTCACTCTGTACAATAATATCTTTGTGTCTTATGGTTTTAGTTTAGGGTCTCTGAGGTGAAGTCTGGACTGTCCAAACTCAAATATTATTGTTGTTGTAGTAGAGGTAATAAGTAGTAGTAGACGAAGTAGTAGTAAGAAGTAGTGGTAGTAGTAGATGTTGTGATAATTTTTTATTTTTGTATATATTTTTTTTATTTATAGCAGCAGCAGTAGCAGTAGTAATAGTAGTAGTAGTAGTAGTAGTACTAGTAGTAGTTGAAAGACTAGTAGTAGTAGTTGTAGTAGTTTTGTTGTTGTAGTACTAGTAGTAGTTGAAAGACTAGTAGAAGTAGTAGTAGTAGTTTCAGTAGTAGTTGTAGTAGTAGTAGTAGTAGTTTTTGTTGTACTACTAGTAGTAGTTAAAAGACTAGTAGAAGTAGTAGTAATTTCAGTAGTAGTAGTAGTAGTAGTAGTTGTTGTAGCACTAGTAGTAGTTGAAAGACTATTAGAAGTAGTTGTAGTAGTACTAGTTGTAGTTGCAATTGTAGTTGTAGTAGTAGTAGTTGTTGTTGGAGTATTAGTGGTACTTGAAAGACTAGTAGAAATAGGAGTAGTAGTAGTACTAGTAGTAGTTGCAGTCATAGTTGTAGTAGTAGTAGTAGTAGTAGTTGTTGTTGTTGCTGATGTTGTTGTAGTACTAGTAGCAGTTGAAAGACTAGTAGTAGTAGTACTAGTAGTAGTTGAAAGTCTAGTAGAAAGTAGTAGTGGTAGTACTAGTAGTAGTTGTAATCATAGTAGTAGTAGTAGTAGTAGTAGTAGAAAAAGGAGTAGTTGTAGTTAGTAGTGGCCACTTCACCCACATTGTCTCATATGAAAATGGTGTGAGCATGAGTGTTGGTGGTGGTCAGAGGGGTCGATGGTGCAGATTTGCAGCCTCACTTCAGTCAGTTTGCCCCAGGACAGCTGTGGCTACGGTAGTATCTTACCATCACTGAGTGTTGAGTGAATTAATAATGCACCAAATTGTAAAGCGACTTTGAACTCTGTATATATGGTGCATTATTAGTTGTTGCTGTCGATGATGCTGATGTAGTAGTAGTAGTAGCAGTAGTAGTAGTAGTAGTAGTAGTAGTTGTCAGTAGTTGTCATGTTCAAAGTACTCTTATAATGCCTTGAACAGGTAGCTAAAATCATCTTTTACTTTAGAGAGTTTAGTTGAAAGTTAGTTTTATCTTCAACACTCAATCGACTGTACAATTTTCTTATTTGAATCTCAAATTTCTTTTATTTTCCAGACTTTTTGGTGGAGCGGGACAACGACTACTGCGTGTGCGAGACTCCATGTAACCTGACCCGCTACGGAAAAGAGATGTCCTTTGTCAAGATCCCCAGTAAAGCCTCTGCGAAGTACCTGGCCAAGAAGTTCAACAAAACTGAGCAGTACATATCGTAAGTATCAGCACTGCTATTATGTGTAAAAAAAAAAAAAAATTTGGACTAAGCTATGATTTAAGCTGGGAGCAAGTTTGTGGTCTAATTGTGTAAATAGTGCCAGTGCAGCAACTAAAATGACTTTGAAATAATTAGGAGAGACATGCCTAAGGAGACAAACTGCTAATTAAGATTGGAGAGAAGGAAAATAATTATAATTTCCTTACCAACGGAAAAACATGAGACAATTAACTAAGGCAGCGGCGCCAGGTTTTTCCCGAAGTGACCAGTTTGATGAACAAAAACATGACAAAGGAAGCGATTATCTAACTTCCATGTTTTTTTTTTTAGCAAATTTTCATTACAGCCGTGGATCATTTGTATAATTTGGACATTTTAAATCACAGTTTTGATATAAAAGGACTTAACAGCAGAAACTTGCCAGCCAATTTCTGTATTAGAAAACTGTTGTGTCTAATGGGAACTGACATTGGTGTAACTGTCATCAAAAACAAAGAGCTGTCAAGTTGCTGACACTTCCTATGGATAACTACAGACTTGTGAATAGTGGATTAAAAAAATGACTACATATCACTACTAAGAAAAATTGCAGAAGTACAGAACAGTTGCCATATGCAGGTGGCAGTGAAAATGGGGTTGATTGGAGCAGTAACATCTGGAGGGTCCACAACCCGCTTATCTCCATAGAAATGTCATTGCTTTGGTTGGAATATTCCACAGTATGGCATTACACTTATTTATTCTGGATTCTGATTAGTTATTACCACAGCAATGGTAAATGTTCACATTTTATATAGCACTTTTCCACCTTTAACGCACTCAAAGCACTTCACAACAAGGAACCACTCACACATTCATACACAAGTGTACACAGGCAAGGTGGGTTAAGTGTCTTGCCCAAGGACACAACAACAGCATTCATCTGTGGGAGTTGAAATCAGACTAGCCAACCTGTAAGTCAGTGGATCTGACCACTCAACCAGTGATGTTTATGTCGGGAGCGAGAACAAAAACTGTTAACTCACATTAACTATTCTTCGTGGGTCCATCTAGCACTTAGTCTTGCCTCTCCACAGATCTGACCTGTTTTTCTCCATGGAGATATACATATATGTTTAAAGCCATACTGTGGAACATTCCAGCCCAAGCAATAATATTTCCATGGTAACAGGTGACTGGCTCTCCACCTCTTAGGCATATTTGTGGCCATATCGGTTTTTCAAAGCTTGAGGAGGGCTGGGCTTGGTTAGTATTTGGATGGGAGACCGTTGGGAAAATCAGGTGCCACAGTGAAGCGGCAGTGATAAAAACTGTAGTTGTGTCCTTAGGCAAGGCATTTCACACACATTGCCTAGTATGAAAGTGGTGTGTGAGTGATGATGGTGGTGGACAGAGGGGCCGGGTATCATTAAGCAGTTGCCGATACGGTACATACCTCGATACACAGGCCACGATACAATACATATCTCCATACAGTGCACTTTCAATTCGATATGATATATTTGAAATCGATGTGATACGGTTCAATAAAAAATAATGGCTAAATCATGGCTGTGATACTACATCTTTGTTAAACCACTTTTTGTGCGAAGTTCATATGAAACACAAACATTTTAATCATCAAAACAGTGAAAATGTCAAATAAACAAGTTTCCTTCCCCTAAACAAGCAACAAAACTGTAGCACTGTAACAAAATTATTTAGTAAAATATACCAAAAAAAATACTCTTGGCACTATATCGATACAGCAGCCCACGATATTGATAATGTATCATCACATTAAACAATACGACAAATCAGTATGTCTATATTTTTGCACACTCCTACCGATGGCACAGATTGGCAGCCTCACTTCCATCAGTCTACAATAGTAGTTTACCACCACCGAGTGTGGAGTGAATGAATAATGATCTGTAAAGCGTCTTTAAGCATCTAGAAAAGCATTATATAAAACTGATGCATTATTATTATATCTGGAAAGGAAATCTAAAACACAAAACACATACTGATACATATTGACCATTTGTATTAGCATCGTATACTCTTCTTTCTTCCATTTATTTTATTGTTGTTTTTGTTTTTATTTCATTTGCATTCCATTTTATAGTTTTTGTTTTCTCTGAGTCGGGCTAGACATATTAACAATGTTATTGAATTTGCCCTTTCTATGTTCAGACAGTGAGGGATAGTATTAGAGGAGAAAAAGAGGTCTGGAGCACTCTTTGCAAATGAACGATGTGCTTTGTGTCAGAGGAGGAGATGGAGTGTTAGCCCGGACACAGATTTGGCTAATTTGTCAAACGAATGGGGCGAGCTTTTGCTTTAAATCCACTAAAAAGATCTGTCGCCATTTCAGAGAATGAGGACAGCAATAATAGGTCAGTTTCTCAACGCAAGGTGAGAACTTATAATGTAACTTCAGTTGATCCATGAGGTATTAAGAAAGCAGGTTTCAAATGCAGTGGCCATAATACTTGACTAAAGGATTATTATTTTTTTTAAATATAGGCCTAAAATGAGAACTTGTTAATTTTAAAGTATTTGCAGTAGTCCAGTTATTCCTTATTTTACTCAGCACGTTCCTAGCATTTAAATAATTCTCCGCAAAAAGTTTAAAAGCGCATTTCACAACTTCAGAGTCAAAGTTTGGTAATGAACAAACAATAATGTGACCACAGCTGAAGAAGCTGCTTGGATGAGCTGAGAAATGTCTTCACTCAAATCACTTACCAAGTCACTTTTGCCAGCATGATAACAGTGTAATTCCTGGTTCTTGGCCAATAAAAAAACTTTATAATTAGATGCAGGCATGGGGTGACCAGACGTCCCTATTTACCCGGGACAGTCCCAGTTATGAGCCTTGTGTCCCCTGTCCCAGCAGATTTGTATATGTCACTATTTCTGACCAATTTGATCTGAACCAGGTCTAAACCAGGACTAAACTAAGACTAAACCAGGATTACATCAGGTCTAACCCAGGGTCTATCACAATTTTTGACTAATCTGATCCTCGCCAACAGTAGAGAGGATCATAAATTGTCATTACTTTAGCCAAAATACAGAAAACCATGAGCACGAAGCAAAAAAAATGCTGTGACAGAAATCCCCCAGATTATGAATGCACAACGTTACGCTCTTTTCACAATTTTATTTATACCAACCATGTGTTCCAGTTTTGAATTTGAAAAATCTGGTCTCCCTATGCAGACAGCACACAGCGGTCTCTTCTTATTCTCTCTACTATATTGGTTTACTTTCTGAGCAATCGTGGCCCCTCCTGATGAGAGGGTCACCAGTTCAAGTCTTGCTCCAGGCTCTTCACCCTCTTAACCCAGTGTTATGAAAGGACGCGCATCTGATGCAGAAATCTCCCAAATCTGAATTCAGACTATGTTGAAAATAGAACAGCCAAATGAAAGAATAAAAGTTTGAAATCTTGAGGTGGATTTATAATTATAAAGCTGTTTTTAGTAACAATTAATGGCACTGTACCTGATTTTTATGTTAATTTTAAATAGTTTGCAGAGGTTCAAAGATTACCTTAAGCATTGCGAGCATCCTGACTGTTCTCCGTGATGAGTTTATAAAAGCTTTTCACACCTTTTGCTGTGATGGTATTGCTAACAACTAGCATGCTAACACACACTTGCTGATTATCAAACACTTTTTTTTTTAAATTTTGAAGTCAAGATATACATCTATTTATACAATACATCTGTACTTGGGCAAATTAAATAATCTATATAGTGAAAAAAACTACAAATACGGTAGTCCAATGTGGTTCATTTGGTCTTCTGATCATTTTTGTCAGGGGTCATCAAACTAAGGCCTGTGGGCCAACTCCAGCCGCCATGCCCCTTTGACCAGCCCCCGACCATTTGAACTTTCCCAATGAGACAATCCTCAAAAGTTGCCATGGCCTATTGTTTTAAATTACTTTTTGGCAAATAATAACACGTCTGCATCTTGTATTTTGTTGATTTCAATAAAAAATATATGTATTTATATGAAGTATTTAGATTTAAATAATTATATGACGTATTTACATTTGCTGCTGAATTTGCTGTTGAATTTTCGTCACCTGACAAGCTCGAGAGCAAACAGTGACAGTCATCACATGCGCAGAGTTCTGTAGTGCAGTTAAGGCCAGCAAAATGACTAGTGTTAAAGTACAAAAAGTTGACAGAGTGCTGAGTTTTCAAAGAACAGTGGACAACTGATTATTTTTTTGTTCAGTGTATAAGGACCGGGCAGTTTCTCTGATATGTAAAGAAAGTGTGGCAGTTTTCAAAGAATATAATCTGCATCGTCTGTGACAAAACCCGCCACAAAGAGTATGCGAGCTTGCGAGGGCAAACAAGAGAAGAAAGGATTCTGCAGATGAAAGGCGGACTGGAAGCTCAACAGCATGTATCCCTTCATCGGCCTAGCAAACTCCAGACCCCCATCACAGCCAGGAGCGATAATGTGGCCCCCAGAAAAAAAGTTTGGTGACCCCTGATTTGTCTTATTAGGGGTTTTTTTTTTCAGACCAAAAGTTTGTTTTCATACCTGACAGTTTCGACATCACGTGACCACTCTTAGGTAGATCGCTAGTGAGCAGTCAAAACTGTCAGGTATGAAAACAAACTCTTGGTCTGAAAAAAGAACCTGATAACTTTCAAATATGGTCCTTAGGGGGTTAAATATTTTTTGTTGTCATGGGCGCTGTAGGATATGTCCTGTCCTATTGTTAAACTGCACTGACACAAAGACGACTGAGAAGCGCAGTGCAAATGTTTCTGCAAATAAATTTCCCTTGGGATCAGTAAAGCATCTATCTAATATTTTCTTAATAATAATAACTTTTTTTTCTTTTTTTTTTACAATTACATAAGATGAGATCACACTGAAGCTTCATTTTACGCAGTGCTAACTTTCCTCTAAAAATAATCTAAACTTAATTAATGGACACTGCCAGTTTGATAAAGAAAAAACCATTGCACAACAGAACTAATTATTTTCTACGATTCCCAGCAGAGTAGTTTGAATGACGCAGTGACTCCATACGTAATCAGCAGGTGTGGCTGTCATCCCCAGTGGGCATGGAGTTTAGCGATGCTCCATATTTATTCTGTCAGCGGCCTATTATAGTAAATGTTATCCATCAGTGACGGGAGACTGAGGATGCTGACAGTGGACACAGGCAATCACACCACTGACAGCACTCCCATTTAGCTGTTATATCTGTTGCAGTAATAATACACTGCTTTTCAGAACAATGCAATAAGAAATGGATGGTTTGATCCCAAGATTGGACTTAACGTAAGGGCACAAAATGGATTCTTGTGAACTTTTAGCCATGTTATAATGCTGTTACCTCATCAAAAACAAACCTGGAGTTGTGTTTTGTTTCGTTCATTTGTTTAACAGAGATTGGAAATTCGGGGCCTGAAATCAAACGAATTATTCTAATGAAGGTGCATAGAGTTTAAACACACACTGAAGCACTTTTTGTATTGCAACATGGCGTCAAAAGTAGGGCTGGGTATCATTAAGAAGTTGCCGATACAATACATACCTCGATACATAGGCCACGATACGATACAAATCTCGATACAGTGCACTTTCGGTTCGATATGGTATATTTCAAAACGATTCGATACGGTTCAATAAAATAAAGGTTAAATCATGTCTGTGATACTAAAAGTCTTTGTTAAATCAATAAATATGTCAAAAGTTTCCTTCCACTAAATAAGCAACAAAACTGAAAATAATTTAGTAAAATGTGAGAGCCATGATTAATTAATTTACAGTTATACGCGATTGTTGTGAATTAATGTAAATATTATTCTTTTTGAGGTTCACTGACACCCCCTATTGTTTTTATGGTGTCATTGTTTTAAATTCTGAACATTGTTATTTTTACAAGGTGCATTTGAACTTTTGTTTGGTTTTGTTTGGTTTTGTACGTGTGCCTTGAACTAGACTGAAGTGTGTTTTTACCGCAGCAAGGCACGGGATGTTGTAGCCGGCTTAACTTTTTTTGTGGCTTCATAATAAATATCCCCTTGTGGAAAAGACAACCTAAATCGTTTCTGTGCCTAAAGATCGGCAACATCAAAATATACCAAAAAATACTCTTGGCGATATATAGATACAGCAGCCAGAAACAGAGTGTTTTCTGTTTGAAAGAAGAAGAACTAAATAAATACTAAATATGTAATATTTGTGTGTTAAATGTGTGTGAATGAAACACACAACTCCATCTCTGTGTTTGTGATGAGGAAACAACATTATAACATACCGAAAAATACCAAATAGTAACCAAGGCGTTTATTTGTTTCAATCACTTAACAGACCAGGCATTTATTTGAGACCAGGCGGCAATTTGGGGCAGGCGATTAATTCCGTCCTTACAAAAATCCAGTATGACTATAATTCACAGTTTTTACAGCACGCCTTGGAAGAGGCGTTGCCGTTATACGATGGCCTGGTGACTGCTTCGCCTACTTTGCCTATTTTTTATTTCTTCGCTGCATCAGAGCCATGGCAATCAACAATGTGGTTGAAGACTGACTGAAAGAAAACATGATAAGCTACGTAAAAACAAAGCAAAACAAAACAGGCGAAGAAAAAAAACATGCAGCGACAGTGGCAGCATTGTAGTGGGTGTGTTACGCGGGGTAACGCCGTCCACCCACTTCTCCCAACATGAGATATAAAAAAAATAACAAATATAAAATCAGCTACAACTTAAATGTCAAACCGGAGCTATTAGCAATGATGAAAACAACTTGCTCATGATATCTGCACTACTGTCCTATAGTGACCTGTGACATGAGGGACCAGGACTAAACCAGGACTGAACCAGGACTAAACCAGGTCTAAACCAGGACTGAACCAGGATTGAAACAGAACTAAACTAGGTCTAAACCAGGTCTAAATCAGGACTGAACCAGGACTAATGCAGGATTAAACCAGGACTAAACAGGACCAAAACATGACTAAACCAGAACTGAACCAGGACTGAGTGTCGACCCGCATAGATTGTCGGGTGACCACAGGCAAAAGGACCTGCGCAGAGCTCCGCACCCCACGGGGCTAAACGCAGCTGTCGTCCGACCGAGCTTTGTGGACATCTTGCTTCACGGGCTCGGGGTTCTCTCTCTCTCAAGTCCAAGATTAGTCCTGGTTTAGTCTTGATTTAGACCTGGCTTTGATCTGGTGTAGTCCTGGTTTAGTCATGGTTTAGTCCTGGTTCAGTTCTGGTTCAGTCCTGGTTTAGTCCTGATTTAGACCTGGCTTAATCCTCACGAATTGCACACCCCGACTTAAAAAAAAAAAAAACACTACACCACTTTTTACTACATTAGACTCTGCGTTTATTTAGAACCGGTGGTTATTTATCAAAATATACACCTGCACCCGGCGTTTTAAAGGGACCCGGCGGTTAATTGAAACCCGGCTATTATTTGGTATTTTATGGTAGATCAGAAAGTAGTTTAACATGGGACCCGTAAGTTAAAATACTAAAGTTCTATAAACAAAAACTTCAAAAATGAACACAGAAAAGATATGAATATGGAAAGTCACAATAAGTAAACTTTTACACATGCATCAATTATTAATTAAAATGGCACTTTGTTTACTTGAGTTATCATTGACTAAAATCATTATGATGTACAATTCATTTACCCAACACATAAAACAACTTCTCTACAAGTTTTCTCTAGAGAAAAAATGAACTAACGATGCAGCAAAAGTTATCATCTCTCATTGTGTTTTATGTCTTTTTAAAACTGACATTTAGATCTACGCCATAATGGAGAAGTTATAGGCTTGAGTCTCTGTTAAGATCCTTCTCCCATCAGACCTATAGAGAAATGTGCTTTTTAACCGGAACAAAAAGAAGAACAAAGTCGGGCTTTGAATTTGATCCTGACTCCACTGGGGCGTGAAGCCATGGCCCCAGAGACGAGATCCAGAAATATTTCTAATCATAATTTTACAGCTTACTCGAGGTGTTCCCATGAATCCTATGTGTAATACTTCTTCACAAAGTTCAAAACGTTATTGAAATCGTCTATCTTTATTTCTCCCGCTATCTTAGGGGAAATAAGTTAATTCTGGTAGGTCCTTTTCTCAAGCTAACACATCTACAGAATAAATGAATATAGTTTTAAAACAAGTAAAATGGACAATTGAAATGCTTTTATTATTATCTGATTTTTATGAAACAGTAAGATCATGGTAAAAGGCAGTTCTCCATATTAAAAAAATATATATAATAAATACTAGGATGAATCTAAACAATTTCACAAAGAAGTTGTTTCCCTTGTGGATCGATAAAGCTTGTTTAAGTCTTAAGAACAGAAGAGCTTCAATAGATTTTTAATATGAATTTAATTATTTATTTACTTTTTTCTAACTCGACCCAACCAAACTATTGCTGAAAAAATGCAGTTGTCGTTTCAAGGCCACCTCAATGCAAAGGTGGGCTATTTCAATCAAGTTTTTGTTCAGAGCAGTGCCTCTTGCTACACACAAATGTTTAGATAACACTTGGGTGACTGACCGTTTCACCAAATATCTCCATAAACAGGAAGCACATAAACAGGAACCTTTTAATTAGGTCAGAAAACAAAACAAAAATCTTCCTTACTATTTCTTTATGGGAAACCCCCAAGGATCAGTTTTAGGGTCATCATTTCTATACACTCTTTCAGCAATTTTCACTTCATTTTTGGCATTCTTTGTCATTTCTATGCAGACAATACTCAACTTTACTATTTTGCAATTACCTCTTGAATTATTATAAGCCATAAAATGAAGCAAAGTGAAATATTTGCTCCACTATATCAAGTTTTACCCCATATTCTATGTATCAAAAGTAGGGATGTAACAATATCCTAAATATCGTGATATTGTATCATCAAAGTTCTCACAATAATATCGTGGACTATCACAATATAATGAATTATAAGACTCTTTGCTTAAATGAATAGTTATGGTGCAGAAATAGCTAAAAAATAAAAAAAAAAAAGACAGAGGGAACTACATAGACCATGATCCTTTGCTCCATTTCAGTGTAAACTACAAGAAGAAATAACAGTTCTAAGCACTTTTAAGTTTTAGTTCTTTGGATTAAGTCTTGTCAAGGCATTATAAGAGAAAAAAGTAGCATTTTAACAGTTTTGTTTGCCTCCACAAAATATCACAATAAATATCATACCGTGAGATGTATATCGTGAAAATATCGTACTGAGAGATTTGGATATTGTTACATCCCTAATCATGAGCCTCCCCACCATATCATGAGCTTTCCCTTGATATCGCAATAAATATCGTACCATGAGGTTCACACTGTGATGATATCATATCGTGAAACTTGGATATCGTTACACCCCTAATCAAAAGTAGTTGGATTATGTGTGACAACTCATTTATATTTTACATCAGTAATGCTACTTTTCTTTTAAAGGTGCACTATGTAACTTTTTGGTTGGGCGTCCGTCAGCCGCTTGTTTCTACGGATATGTCATTGAATGTTTCACAGTGTGACATTAAACAGCTCTACCTTACATTTATTCAATTACAGGTGGATTTATTGCCCAAAAATGTTTATTAAAAAAAGGTATTCTGAGTATGAGCAGGGTCGCCTCTCCACAGATCTGACCTGTAACTTGGTCTGGTTTGGTCTCCGGGAAGACAAAACACTCCACTAGAAAAGTTACACCTTTTGCTTTTATACTGAACTTTTAAACTTTGAAAATCACTTTTTTTTTTTAAACTTAATTTAGTGTTTGATGTGTTGTGTTTTTACTGTGGCGTTTCACAATTTCAGATCCTTTTTATTAGGACGTCCTTGGGTTTACTGAAAGGCCCCATCACATAAAATTATAATTACCCTCTTTTAACCGCGCATGTTTGTCTGTTTTTATAGTGAAAACATCCTGGTTTTGGACATCTACTTTGAAGCACTAAACTACGAGACCATTGAGCAGAAGAAGGCTTACGAACTGGCTGGTCTCCTGGGTAAGGAAACAACATCAGCTCTTCATGTACACTACTTATAAAATGCCACCAAAATAACATGATTGAACTTGCATTTTTATTATTTTTCATCTGTGTAATATTTTGTTATTTATTTGTTTTTAGGTGACATTGGTGGTCAGATGGGTCTCTTCATTGGAGCAAGTATCCTGACCATCCTTGAACTCTTTGACTATCTTTATGAGGTACTTGATTCTTTAATATATACTATCTATGACTTTGGGCCTGACCAACATGGAGTTTTTGTGGTTGATATGATACCGATGCAAAGGAAGTTGGAGCTGCCGATATCGATATAAAAGCCGTTATATTTAGTGATGTAAAATTTCACTGTAAATCTTCAGTTGATTATAAATCTTAGGTCCGACTCTACTGGATTTAAAATCAAGTTTGTTTAGGCTACATTTAGTAAACAAGCGTACGTGAGTGACATGACACTGGGGGTGCATTCAGGGACAGTACAGCGTCACAGACACAGACAAATTATTCCTCAAATAAATATTGATGCGGCGCCACATATTAGGACATTTATCTGTCTGTAAATTTGATTAAATGGACAAAATATAGAGCAGGGATCTCCAACCTGTAGCTCAGGAGTTACTAGTAGCTCTCCAACCCCTTAAAAGTAGCACACCGAAGGATTTCAGAATCATGCCATTGTGCTGAAGAACAAAAATATGTTTAATTCCATCCCTTGTAAATATATCATTTTAAAGCACAACTTTTTCCACTAATAAATGGACCATGGTTTATGTTTTATAGGCATCTAACTGTACCCTAAGGCTTGCCCTCTTTCTTTTAATCGTCTCATTTTCTTGCGGCCGTTAAAATGAGTAGCGCCTTGGCATTTTTGTTATATAAAAGGTAAAAGCTCACCTGAGGAAAAAGGTTAGAGACTCCTGATATAGAGAGTCTAAGCTTTATAAGGAGGTATAACATGCCCACGTGGACTATTGGCCCGTATCGGCAAGATTTAGGCCCATAGCTGATACATCGGTCGGGCCCTACAATGATTATTATTATGGGCATGTTATAAATTACATGTAAATTACACTTTTCTACATAATTCAAAGAACTCAATATTCCCTGTAGAAAATTAGTGCCACATCACTTAAAGGTACAATAAGTAACTTTCTGGAGATGATAAGATTCCATGGAAATAGAAAGTTAAACCATACTTCGGAACATTATCTATAGAAATTGTTTATGCTGTGGAAGATTATAGCCAAAAGAAGAACATTTCTGTGGAAACAAGCCAAAAGAGACCCTCCTCCAGGCCAAATAAGAGTCTGGTTTATGGAGATGCAAGCCAGCTCACTGTAAAGAAGTTTTTTTAGTGCAGTAAACACAAATGATAAAAGAAAATATGGTTTTATTTCACTAATTTTTTTGGCTAGAAAGTTGCATACTGCAGCTGTAAATGAAATGAAATTGTCTGAGGTATGTTTGAGACCTGCACTAGGAAAGTATAAGCTCACATTATAGTTGACAATCTTGACTGTGATCATCAAAACCAAGATGTTTTCGTTCTCAAAACAAGCATACAGTTTTAATACACAAACTGATGTGTAAGCGTGACCATAATCACAAGTCAAATCTGAAACCCGGTGCAGTTTACATTCTTATAATTGAAATCGCGCGTGATTCGTTCAACTCAACAAAAGCATGACAGCAACCTCACTTGTAGGAGCTCGCCAAATCTAAATGCTGAGCTAAATAATAATTTCTAGGTTATGCCACAGTGGAAGAAGACAACAGGAAGTACGACGCTAAAGGCAGTGTTCTGTTAGACTGCATGACGCTGTACTAGTTCAGTATTTGAGGACGGGAGGGGCTGTGGTATTGGCTTTATACGCTTCAAAGGAGCCAAGGGCCATTTACTGCAGTATGTTAAATGGATAATGGGTATTGGCTCAAAATAAAATGAAAAACAAAAACACATAAATTTGCCCATTTACTATCCACTCACAGTCTTAAAGCTCCAGTATAGACTAGTGTTCTGTTTTAGCCAAACATCTAACTTAAAGGACCCGTATTTTCTGATCTATGTTTAAATGTTGTTTCATTCGTCAAAAACAGGCCTGTGTTTTGTTTCATTCACAGTTAGATAGATAGATGATGGATAGAAATACTTAATATACTTAAATTCCCAGCAGAGATTGCTGAAATTTAGCCTGATTCATCAGACAGTTTCATTTTGTAGAAACCGTTTGACCTTGCAGCGTTAGAATTAATTCGCTCGACAGTAGATGGGTATTTTTTAAATTAAACCAATCACTGCTATTTGGTCGTGATGTATGTAATGCGCTGCTAATGAGGCTAACTGGTATATTAAGCTTTTCCCAAATCCCGTAGGAAGAAGGGCAATAACTTCTGTCCCCTTAATAATATTCAACAAACATTCTCTTTGTTTGGCTTTAAACCCTCAATCTCGGGAATCGTTGCCAACACAGAATGTACGGCTCGGACTCGCATTTCCGGGGTTCTTGCAAACCATCTAGTGCAGGGGTCGGCAACCCCGGCTCCGGAGCCGCATGCGGCTCTTTAGCACTCCCCTAGTGGCTCCCTGGAGCTTTTTCAAAAATGAGTGAAAATGGAAAAGGAATGATTTTTTTGGTTGTTGTTTTATGGTTTCTTTAGGGGTAAAACCCTTGTTCATCTCTGGTCATGGATCTGATCCATCAGCTGTGAAACACATGAAAAGTGTTTCAGCAGAACAAATAGATGAGCTGAAGCGGGGGTGGTGTCCGGTGCCTCCACCTGAGAAGCGCTTTACCCGAAAAAAACCCCAACAAAAAAACACGTGCGCAGACGGACGCTCAGAACAACATATAACGAACCAAACGGGATTCACGCTTCTGTGCTTGATGCTTTGCACCACCTCGGAACCTTTGCACCACCTCGGAACCAGCCGTGGTCGAACGCGGAGGACCGGAGCAGCCCGGACCTGTGGTCCACAGCGCATTCTCGCTTTTCCCGCACGGAACCAGCGCGCAGACGACTGCACTGAAGCACTCGGACCCAGTACTTTGCGCGCTGGTCTTACTCGCCCCCGTCTGGAACCAGGACATGGAGGACGAAGCCTCCGGACAATCTGACCAACACTGGACCCCCAGCCCCGTCGTGAGGAGCTGCGCGCTGACTGCTCCCGTGTGTTTGGCGCTGCTGCCCGAGTTCAGAGCTTCTGCTCGTCGTCAAAGCAACAGGTAAACGTCGGTCGCACTTTCAGCGCGTCAGCTCCTAAAACTCAGTTTATCTCAGTTTACACGCAAACGTGAAACCGGAGTTTTCCAAAATCTCCACTCTAGCTGGATTTTTTTATAGAAAGATTCGTTTTCAGAGGCGTTTGCGTGTAAACGATGTGTACAAATGAAGGGAAATGTCTCCGTTTTTAAAAATACCCGTGTACGTGTAAATGGGGCCTAAATGACAAAGGAATAAACACTAACCACCTGATTTCAGTGGCTACAGACGGCGCACCGAGTATGAGAGGGTCGCAAAAGGGGTTTGTGTCATCATGAATGCTCATTTTGTATTTGTAGCCTACTTAGTCATTTTAATAGTCGGCTTATATAGCTAATATACTGACAGCCTATGTTGCCTTCATATTAGGCTTATATAAGACTTTTAATTTTTTGCGGCTCCAGGCAGGAATGGTTTTAGTTTTTTTGGTCCAATATGGCTCTTTGAACATTTTGGGTTGCCGACCCCTGATCTAGTGTATTCCGATTCCTGACCTAGTCGCTGGAGAGAAATGAAATTGAGCAGATATTGTAATTTGGTCAAAAGACAACCAAATAGGTGGCTCTTGTGGAATTAACTGTACCCTGGGAGGAAAGCATCGGGGAGGCACATGAGCGAAAGCAAGGGAAGTATCAGTCTTTGCAGCAGAATCACTGGAAAGCTTGGAACCTGCCAGTGGAAGTGGGTTTCGGGTTTCCCAGGACAATCGTTGTGGAAGGCGCTTGGGGAGTGAGAGGTCCTGCCCGTAAAACACTGACTGGGAATATCATTAAGCGGGCAGAAAGCGAATCTAGATGGCTTTGGCTTAAGAGAAAAGAGCAATGGAACCAAGCTGGCAGATGAAAGGGAGCATAGAGTTGATTGGAAAGGATCAGAGGGACAGAGGAGGTGGTTCCAGGACGCTGGTTCCGCCGTCAAGCCCCCTGGAGGTGTCGTGGGCTAATTTGACAAAACACCGGTGAAAGGGGGTGCCAACGAGAAGACCAATGAAATCCCAAAGATTTAAACTGCTCCTTCTCTGCTCCAATAAAACATTTGCGATTTTTTTTAGGCCAGCCGCCCACAGCTAAGTGTGAGGAGTAAATCCTGCCAAGTGTGGTGGCTGGGATGTGGCATGGTTTTATAGATCCTATTGATCCCTGAAGGGCAAATTCAGGTCTTGCAGCCATCTCAGCCACACCTTTAAGAAAAATAATACAGCATAACATGAGTAGAGAGGAGGGGAAAAAGAAACAACCTCCAGACCACATAACTAACACACAACATCCTGCATATTTAGGCTGTGTTCTTCTCTCAAACTTAAAACACTCAAACAAAACATAATTCCAAGTATGTTTTTGATAAGGTAACTACAGTCAATTGTAGTCCAATGAGGTTCATTTGGTCTTCCGATATTTTATGTTATTAAGTTCTTTTTTCAGACCAAGAGTTTGTTTTACATACCTGACAGTTTCTACTGCTCACTTGCGGTCAAAAAAGAACTTAATAACATAACAGTCAAATGTAGATAATATAGGACCTTTAAGAAAAACTAGGCTTTGCATTTTAATTTAGCACTGGCTTCAGATGACCAAAAGGGGGCGCTCCACTAAATATCGCAGCTGTTTAAGAGGTTTGCAGGAAACAGGAGTGTAGTGGAGACTAGGAATCATCAGGAATGCATGGATCCAGCTTTTTCAGTTCCGATACCGAATCCGATACTACATCTTAAAATATTTGCCAGTACATCAACCGATTATATAAAAATAAAGTAACACGACACTCATGCAAATGTACTATGTGCCTGTTATTTATCTCTCAAGTAACTACAGAACAACTTCGTATAAATAAAAGTTCAAACATTATTTTTGAAAGCCCAGACTTCCTGTGCTGACTATAACCAGAAGGTAGTTTTATTACATCAGGATACCAGCTGAACTGATATAAGCCAATATCTGATCCAGCTAAATTTTTCAGCGCTGACACCAGTTTTGGAACCGTGCATCCCTACGCAATATTTTTCTTTATTGTACTAATCTATACAGGGCAGTGGACCCTAGCAATGTCGATAGTAATAGTTATAGGGGAGGTTTAAGCTGTGGTCATCTGGACACTCTTTTTGCAATCAAGATGTTTCGGCTGCCATCCAGAAGCCGTTTTCAGTTTGATGGCACTGGCTTGAGGCGCTAGGTTTTATACTACTCTAGACTGAGTTAAATCTAACCCTAAAGGAGGAGTTTTAGAGTGAAAATGCCCTGCCTTTGTTTACAGCTAACATCATTATGGGTCTTTATGCGCTTATTGTGTATTGGCCGTCTCACCTTCAACAGTAAGGGCATAACGATCCATAATGTTAGTGTTAGCTAGTAAACGCTAAAACTCCTTCCTTAGGGGCTGGACTTGGTTAACTCGGAGTAGTATAAAACCTAGTGCCTCAAGCCAATACCATCAAACTGAAAGCTGCTTCTGGACAGGAGCCAAAGAGTGTCCAGATGACCACAGTTGAAACCTTCTCTATATTAAACCCTCTGGATGAATGAGAGATCACACTGTTTTCTTATTAGTCTTTTAAATAAACTAAAATTTCAAACTCTCTTTTGGTATTAAGGAACAGACTTGATACTCAACTCCGATTCCGATACCACAATGATTATCTGATTATGATGATCTCGTATTTGTTCTGATACAGCCCAAGGTTCAGTTCTGTCCTGTTAATGTGACTTTTTTAGTATCGATACTTTCTCAAATGAGTATCTAGTTTCGATTGGTGGTGTACTGGGATTTTTTTTTAAGTGGGGTACGCAATTCGTGACGTCATTGATATGATGAATACCACCCACCTATTAATATTATTAATATTAACTCCATTCATAATCACCTCCAGAACATAAAACAGAGGCTACATGTGCCCAGGACTGAACCAGGACTAAAACAGGCCTAAAACAGGAGTAAACCAGGTCTAAACCAGGATTAAACCAGGACAAAAACAGGACTAAATGAGGTCTAAACCAGGACTAAACCAGGACTAATCTTGGACTTGAGAGAGAGACCGAGAGAGAGAATAAGAAGGGTGCAGGGTGTCTGCAAAGCACGATCGAGCAACAGCTGCCCTTAGCTCCATGGGGCGCGGAGCTCTGTGCTGGTCTTTTCTCCTGTGGTCTACGCGGGTGCACCTCCGGGCCCAATCCAACACTCTTGTCTTGTTGACTTAGTCCTGTTTTAGTCCTGTTCTAGTCCTGTTTTAGTCCTGGTTCAGTCCTTTTTTAGTCCTGTTTTAGTCCTGGTCCAGTCATGGTTTGGTCCTGTTTTACTCATGTTTTAGTCCTAGTTCAGTCCTGGTTTGGTCCTGGTTTAGACGTGGTTTAATCCTGGTTCAGTCCTCTTTTAGTCCTGTTTCAGTCCTTGTTTGGTCTCGGTTTAGTCCTGTTTTAGTCCTGTTTCAGTCCTTGTTTGGTCTCGGTTTAGTCCTGTTTTAGTCCTGTTTCAGTCATGGTTCAGTCCTGGTCCCCTCATGTCTCAGGTCACTATAGGACAGTACTGCAGATCTCATGAGCCTATGCAGTTTGTTTCCACAATTGCCAATAGCTCCGGTTTGACATGGAACTTTTAGCTATTTTTTATTTGTTATTTTTTATATCTCACGTCAGGAGAAGTGGATGGATGATGTACCCCCGCGTACCACGCCCACTACACCCCTGGTTAGTTTTAGTATTAATTAGTGTCAGATTTTCTATACTTTTGACAACCATACTTCTTATATTATATAATTTCTCATTAAAATTGGCTCTGCATATCACTCAGTACAGAGTTTATTGCCTATCCAGTGGGTGAAATTTAAAGCATTAGCAGATCTCCTTTACTTATGCAGTTAAAGATGCACTACGCAACTTTTCTGGTGGAGGGTCTGCTTCCTGCTTGTCTCCATGCAAATGTTCCATGGTGTGACATTAACCAGATACATCTAGCATTTATTCATTACATGTTTCTGTTGCTCGAAAATACAATTCTTCTGTTAATAGAGGCGAATCTCCACAGATCTGAATTGTAATGTAGTGTAGAGTTTCTTTACAGGTTTTAATCTATATTATGGAACATTCAATAACATTTCCATGGAGACAAGCAGGTGACAGACCCTTCACCAGAAAACGTTGCACAATGCGCTGTTAACTTTTTTTGCAAACTCTAAAACAACTAAATTAACCTATTGAATTCCAAGTTGTCATTTATAATAAAACCACATCTTCACAAATTAAATCTTATTGTTTCTTGGAAGACCAGTATTCTTACCCATAATTCCTTTCTTCAGCTTATCAACAGCCTCCACATCTGCAGCGCTGTTGAATACATTAACATTTGCATACATTATACAGTCTGTGTCCAGTCTCATTACGGGAATATTCTAATGCCTCTTTGTTTTCTCTGTTCTTCTAACGCACACGGCAGATCAGGGGCTGGGCTGCCGGGCTGAGTCCTTGATTAGATGAGATTTGCTTGTGTTGTGTTGATATGAAGGGATACTGTAAATGCACGGGATCAATGGAGGGTACGAGTTTATAAATGCATGAAGGCCGTGTTGTTTGAATTACAATTTAAAGGTCCTGTATTACACAAAGTTGATTCTTGTGAGCTATACGCCATGTTACAAACTTTTTGCCTCATCAAAAACATACCCAGAGTTTTGTTTTGTTTCATTCACACATGTTTGAATAATCCTGAATTATTAGACTATCTACATATCTAAAGATAAAAATATTTCCATATGACATGATCCGTTTATTTTCATTTTGAGAGAACTAATATTATGCAGGGTTTGTTCCCTATGAAGGGAACACAAAACAAAACTCCAGGTATGTTTTTGATGAGGAACAACAACAATATAACATGGATCAAAAATAGCCTAACATAGGCCCTTTAAAGGAAGTAGTTTTGTGTAGGAACATATAGTCTGTTCTTTATTATCATTGTGGTATCAAAATCTGTATTGAATATTTTAATATTAAGAGAACTTTTCTACTTCTACTACTGCTTATTGTTATTATTATTGTTAAAAGTATAGTTTTGATAACCGTTTAGTTATATTCTCTTGAAAGTTGTGTATTAAACATTATTTTATTACCTATTATACATGTTATACTTCTGTGCGAGTAGTAGAAAGGACCAAAGCTAAAAAAGTTCTGTACAGACAATAGACTGATGCATAAACATGTAATTCGCCCAATAGCTGGTAATGACTGTTCTAAAGATGCTAATAAATGCCATACACAATGTGTTGTAACTATAGGAACAAACTGCTGCAGTAGCTCAGTGGTTAGTGGGAGTTTTTACCTATCCAAAAGACGATGGTTTGATCCCAGGATGTCCTTGGGCAACACAAGAACCTTGTCCAAGTATGTATGTGGTGTAGTGAGCTTCACTAGTGAGCTTGTCATAAGAATAGACAGACTCAGAGCTAAATGCATTCAAACATTTATTTTAAAAAACAGTTAACACAAATACACATTAAAATATGTCAACAAACGATGTAACAAAATATTTAAGAAAGTTAAAGACACATGTAACTGACAGTTGGACATGAGCTGATATATAAGGTCAATAAAGAGCCTGAAGAGAAGAGACGTGAGGATCCTTCAGCTCTTTGTGAGCTGCACTCAAGTCTTTAGGCTCCTTCTAGATCTGTAGTCCTGTGTTCACCTCATGAAACATCTGCAATCACAAACACACACGAATTAAAGGAGGTAACAGCACTCTATTATTCTAATGTCATGCAGAAATGCTCACCTGTGAAGTGCAGTGGATGCAGTGAAGAAGTGAGTTCAGCTCAGACACACAGCTGGAATTTGACCTGATCTTTACTGATCAGCGTTCAGTATAAACCAGGAGACCTAAACACAAATGATCACATTTTATTGTTAGAATACACCTTTAATATTTGCACTGAGAAGAGTGACAGAAAACAATTGTGCTTAATGTTATTAGAATTACCTCAACATCCCACCACTAAGTCTGTACATGAATGACATGTTCACCAGTCGAGTGTGCAGGAGGCTTCTAGTGAAGAATGCAGACAGCTACAGAGGTGAGGTCCTCAGTCTCTAGTGTCCACCTGGTGTGGTGACACCTAAACACATAAATACATATTTTTATTAAACATGGTGTTCATTATTACACCTGTGATCACAGAACATTGTGTTCCATGTTTAATCACAAGCTTACCTTTCCTTTAATCCAATGCACAGTGGACTTTTATATCCGTGTTGATGAGCCAGCTCAGCTCTGGACCTGGTCTTCTCTCTTCAGTCCACCACCTGGAACAGGCCGACTGCACTGACAGCTTCACCTGTGACAAAACAAAAGGCACAAAACAGAACTAAAGTAAACAAATGTCTCAACACAAATAAAGCAAAAACAAGTCACTGACACAAGTGCACCTTTAAAAGAAAAAAAAAATCCACAGAGTTTAAATGACACGAAGGGGAGGAGAAAGAACACATTTTGATATGACCAGTTAACTGATGGTAAAAAGGTGAACTAAGTATCACCAGCGGACAGTATAGACAGCAGGTGCCAGAGATGTGGTAACAAATACAATCTTTACTGTAATCCCAAACTAAATTTTGTGTGTGTGTGTTTTGTGCAGGTGATCAAGTACAAGCTGTGCAGGTGTGTGAAGAAAAAACACAAGGGACGCAACAACAATGACCGAGGAGCTGTGCTGAGCCTGGACGATGTCAAACGCCATGTATGTATCTCACATCTATCTATCTATCTTATCTATCTTCCATCCATCCATCTTCTTCCGCTTATCCGGGGCCGGGTCGCGGGGGCAGCAGTCTAAGCAGGGACTCCCAGACTTCCTTCACCCCAGACACGTCCTTCAGCTCCTCCGAGGGAACCCCAAGGTGTTCCCAGGCCAGCCGAGAGACATAGTCCCTCCAGCGTGTCCTGGGTCTTCCCCGGGGCCTCCTCCCGGTGGGACATGCCCGGAACACCTCCCGAGGGAGGCGCCCAGGAGGCATCCGGAACAGATGCCCGAGCCCCTCAGACTGGCTCCTCTCGACGTGGAGGTGCAGCGGCTCTACTCCGAGCTCCTCCCGTGTGACTGAGCTCCTCACCCTGTCTCTAAGGGAGCGCCCAGACACCCTGCGGAGGAAACTCATTTCGAGCGCTTGTATCCGCGATCTCGTCCTTTTCGGTCACTACCCAGAGCTCATGACCATAGGTGAGAGTAGAAACGAAGACTGACCGGTAAATCGAGCCTTTCGGCTCAGCTCCCTCTCCTCACCACAACGGTCCGATACAGCGACCGCATCACTGCCGAAGCTGCACCGATCCGCCTGTCAATCTCACGTTCCGTCCTCCCCTCACTCGTGAACAAGACCCCGAGATACTTGAACTCCTCCACTTGAGGCAGAGACTCTCCACCCACCCGGAGAGGGCAAGCCACCTTTTTCCGGTCGAGAACCATGGCCTCAGACTTAGAAGAGCTGATCTTCATCCCAGCCGCTTCACACTCGGCTGCAAACCGCCCCAGTGCACATTGCAGGTCCTGGTTCGATGAAGCCAACAGGACAACATCATCCTGCAAACAGCAGAGATGAAATCCTGTGGTCCCCAAACCGGACCCCCTCCGGCCCCTGACTGCGCCGCCTAGAAATTTCTGTCCATAAACACAATGAACAGAACCGGTGACAAAGGGCAGCCCTGGCGGAGTCCAACATGCACTGGGAACAGGTCTGACTTACTGCCGGCAATGTGAACACAGCTCCTGCTCCGGTCATACAGGGACCGGACCGGACAGCTCTTAGCAAAGGGCCCCGAATCCCATACTCCCAGAGCACCCCCCACAGGACACCACGAGGGACACGGTCTATCTATCTTATCTATCTTATTTACCTATCTATCTATCTTATCTATCTTATCTATCTATCTCACATCTTCCATCTGTCTATCTAATAACACACTCACTGTCACATGTTGGGATTTCATTCTTTCATTCTTTATTATTCATTTATGTACTTTTATTTGAATAGAAACAGATACAACAATATGCAACATACAAACATAGATTAACAATTCACTGATGTGATGCAGGTGTCTGTGTTTATGGTCCAGGTCAGGGGTCTCCAGCCTGTAGAGCTACCAGTAGCTTTCCACCTCCTGCCAAGTGGCTTGCCAAGGGATTCCTGAATTATATGTGCTGAATAAATAAAATTTGTTGAATTATCATTGCAGATGTATCATTTTGATGCCTAACTTTGTGCACTGATAAATGGATAATGATTTATACATCTAACTTCCTCATCAAAGGATAGGTGTGGCTCTTACATTTACTCAGTTTCTGTCAACAAAATTAGTGGCTCTCTGGATTTCAGTTTTGTAAAGGTAACTCACTGGAGGAAAAAGGTTGGAGACCCCGCAAGAGGGTGTGACTGTGTAGTTGCCAGTTCAGATACAGTCATGTTTTTACATACTGGGCTGAAGTCAGAAGTCACTTCACTGGACATTGTTAGACAATCAGTTTTCTAAATGATATCTCTGTATATTTTTTAAACAGATCAGTATTAGTCTGGTAACCACATCCTCCGCCCAGTCTTAAGCCTGGTCAAATGTGATCGCCCAATCAGATTTGTTTATTTCACTGATACATGAAATAAAGATGCTTATTGGCCACCTTATGATTTACAAACAAAATCAAATTTATCTCACCTCAGATTAACAGAGTGTGTTTCTTTGATGACTGATTCTGTTAAAATCCACAGTGTTTTTCAGTCCCTGTAATATGTTTTCCTTTATATTTTCTAATACGGACAGAACATGCCTGTCCCTGATTTGCCAATCCGCCTGTCAATCACACCCATTTGAAAAGAGAAGTAACAGTTACCACATTCACATCTCCGTAAAGTTTTAGAAGAAGTGTGTATTATAGATCACAGACAAGAGAATCAGCCCTGGAATTAAAACTACAACCTCATAGCTGAAAGACTGGTAACACTTAAAAGTCCTATATTGCGCAAAATTGACTCTTATGGCCATCATATAATGTTACCTTCTCAAAACCATACTCAAAATGATCTGAAGTGAAGTGGTAGTTTTCACTTAGCAGCTCCTTTTACCTTTAGTTCAGTAGAGATTGGCAATTCAAGGAATGAAAATATCTAAATGATTCTAGTGAAGGTGTAAGGAGTTCGAAAACACAGTGAAGCACTTCCTGTATTAGTTTTTTCTGTTTGAGAGAAGAACTCGGCCTAAATATGCAGGACTTGCGTATTAAACACATGTGAATGAAATTGAAATTGTAGATCTCGCACCTTCTAATCAGTGAAGAGCTGTGAAGCCATGACGTCAAACTCAAGCGTGTGTCTGGGTCCCTTTTGTGGTACAGCACAACAGTAAACAAAGCGGTCGAGATGGATGTAGACGAAGCCATACATTCTCTGTTGTCAACTATTCCTAAGATCGAGGATTTAAAGCTGGAACAAAGAGAATGTTTGGTGAATTTTATCAAGGGGAAAGTTGTTATTGCCCTTCTTCCTATAGAATTTGGCACATTACATACGTCATGACCAAACAGCAGTGATTGGTTAAATAAAAAAGTATCTGCCTACCGTCAAGCGAACAAACCCTAATGCTGCAAGGTCAGACGGTTTCCACGAAGTGAAACCGGTTGATAAATCAGGCTAGGTATGTTTGTGATGAGGAAACAACAACATAACAGATCAGAAAACAGTGTAATATGCTCCCTTTAACAGAACTATACAGAGAAGTGCTGCTTTTTGACTCTAAAATGTAAATAAGACCACCGAATTTCTCATCGGGTTGATATATTATAGGTGAGGAGGTGGAGTAAGATAAAGAGAAATAGGAAGATCGCTCGGAAGCAGCTCCAAGGGCTCAGAGAATGTAAGAGTAGAGAGAGGAAGAGAGAGACTAGGAGGAGAAAATGAAGAGGGACTGGGTGTGGAGCAGAGAGGCCCAAGTTTAATCAAAGCCATCCCACTGACTGTGCACTTATTTCAGTGTAAATGAACCCAGCGCGCCCTCATTGACCACATCACTTCACTGGCACACGGAAGTAAAGAGATGGGCTCCTCATCAGATCTGAGCCAGAAGGCAGATTTTTCATCACCAAGAAATCATTATCATACTTTTCATACTTTTTTTTTTTCCATTCCTGTTTTCCGCTTTTATGTTTTATGGCGAGGCACTGAAGGTGAGTAAGAAGAAATATTAAATTTAGAGATTGCAATTTGAAACTTCTACTAAAATGTATTTACTCCTGAATACCTTTTATTAAAATGTATTTTGTAACATGTTCTAATACGTGGGCCAGAGAACTGAATATTTGGGATACTTTTACACCAAGTTGCATTATATTATACTGAAAAAAACATGACATATAATTACATTAAGCTGTATTTGTGGTAAACTGTTGGTATATGCATGTTCAGTACATCCCAACACTGCATAGTTTCACATGAATCAGTCAGTATAGATTTTCTCATTGTAGCAGCAAAAATATTTCCCTTAGTAATATTTAAATCAGTGTTTCCCAAATTTTATTTCTGGGGACCCATATTTTAAAAGTCACAAACCTTCACGACCCAAGTCAATAGACATTACTCGTAAATCACAAAATAAAGGTGAATTTGACCATTATTGAACATTAATGAGGATATTTTATTGTTGATTGAGTGATTGTGTCTCTCTGAGCAATTAGTATTACTCAAGATTTAAACAATGAAAAACATTGAACCAGCAATAAAAAGATCCATAAGTCACCTATTTGGACCTTAAATATACCCCATTTCTTTTTCTTTTCAACATTCAATTGAACCAGCTATAATGGAACAAAATAGTCGGTAAAATAATTACAAAAAGATTAGAAATTATACAAAACATGTCAACATTTCTAATGAGATAGGTGGGTCTGTCTGTGTTTTTGTAGCGTGTTCTAGTCTGAGGTGCAGGAGGAGAACACAACACGCAGATCAGGCGCAGCTTTCAGTTTGTTTCTGTGCTTTGTCTTCATTTTTGTGAGCACAGAAAATCCCATTTCACATTCATTTTATATGTAAATAGAAATAGAAATACTGGCCCTACTGAGGATAGTGATGATATTGTGACGAAATGCTTATCCAGAATGACGATAAAGTCACAGATCAGAGCTGTATATTGCAGACCTGCATGTAGATCGTGACCCAAAAAAAATCTCTTGCAACCCAGTGGGACTCTGAGGGTCACAACCCAGTCTTTGGGAAACAATGGTTTAAAGCAATACTTGCACACACTTGTCTACTCCTGTCATAGAAATATAACTGTCATCAGATCTAAGCCAGGATTTTTCATCGCCAATTAATCATAACCTCATCATACTTTTGTAGATTTCTGTAGTTTACATAGACAAATATATTAGAAGTTTTTGATCATGTTACTGTAGGTTTTGATGTATAAATAAGCAACTTAATGTGTAAAAAAAAAAAAATGCGTTCAAAACAGAAACATGGAAAGAGCCAAGTTTAATTTGCTCGCTTCATTTTGTTGTCATATTAGCTACAAAAAATTTACTGCAGGAATTTTGGATATCTTATTTTGTAAATCAGAGAAAACTAAATATTACTGAAATATTACTGAAAACTGGCCTGAACATTCAAATTTTTATTTATTTTTTTGGTTCAAATTTTAATAAATCAGGCTTGGAATTTAATATCAACAAATTCTTGCTTACGATCTGTCAAAATC